GGTTGCAGAAAAGTGAAGTTGGAACAAACAAGTTATATAACGCTGGGGGCGGTGGGGGATGGAGGAACTCAGTCCCTCCTGAGGACAGTTTCTTGAGTTGTGGGACCGTTGGAAAGGCCAAGGGGAAGACAGGAACCGCCCCCATCCCTGGCCAAATGACAAAGCCCTTCATGGGACAAAAAGGCAGATGCACGCGCTTCCTGGCAGACTGCAAAACCAACCTCATGGACAAGGCCAGCCTCCCCCAGTCTTCGGCAACCCCCCAAGTCTCCCTGAAAAGGCGAAGGACTGACCCAATCCCATAGAAGGGACATCCTACCCACCAGACTGCAAGCCCTAGAGAGCTTTTCCACACCCCTTTCATCTATCCCTTTCTCTCTCCCTCCCCACCACCAGCCATATTTCTTGAACATTTACTTCGTCTGTGCAACCCTTGCTCCAGGCACACGACAGCATGAGGCAGATTAGCATTTCCACTAATAAACACACCAAGGAGCACTGGGTTGAGATAGCATGATCAAGGACACACAACAGCCATATGACCCAGTGACTCCACTCCTGATACACACCCCAAGGAACTGAACACAAGTGTTCGACAAAAGGGGCGCCCGGGTGGCTCAGTGGGTTAAGCCTCTGCCTTTGGCTCAGGTCATGATCTCAGGGTCCTGGGATTGAGCCCTGCATCGGGCTTTCTGCTCAGCAGGGAGCCTGCTTCTCCCTCTCCCACTCCCCCAGCTTGTGTTTTCTCTCTCTGTCAAATAAATAAATAAAATCTTAAAAAAAAAAAAAGTGTTCCGACAAAAACTGGAACATGTGTGGTCACAGGAGCACTATCCAAATAGCCAACCTAAATGTCCATCTGCTGGTCAAACGGTTAAACAAAATGTGGTCTGTCCACACAGTGAGGTATCACACAGTCCTAAAGAGGAATGGAGTACTGATGAGCACTCCAGTGTGGGTGAACCCTGAAAACATACAAAGTGAAGAAGCCAGACATAGAAGGTCACACATTATATGATTCCATTTATGAAACAGGTACATTTATGGAGACAGAAATGAGATGAATGGTTGTAGGGCACTGGGGTAGGAGGAATGGGGAATGATTGCCAATAGGTACAGAATTTTCTTTTGGAGTGGTGGAAATGTTCTGGAACTAGACAGATGGGATAGTTGCTCAACATCGTGAACATACTAAATGTCACAGAATTGTTCAGTTTTAGTAGGTGAGTTTTATGCTATATAAATTTTACCAAACAATCCAAGGTGACCAGGAAAAAGCATTCTGGGAGGTAACTGATCTCGGTGGTCAGGCAGATGGCTCTGAGACGCCATGACCCGGGAGTGTGGAAGGGTGAAGAGGAATGAGGCATGGGCAAGTGATACACCAGGACTTGCTGGCCCCTCTGGAATAAATGAAGGAAGGAATCAAAGAACGTTACAAGGGCCTCTATATCTCAAGGGATCCTTGGCAAAATATTGTGTGCCACAATCCCCCTCAAAACCTGATCCTCTTGGGGTGCCTTGGTGGCTCAGTGGGTTGAGCGTCTGCCTTCAGCTCAGGTCATGGTCTCGGGGTCCTGGGATCAAAGCCCACATTGGGCTCTCTGCTCAGTGGGGAGCCTGCTTCCCCCTCTCTCTCTGCCTGCCTCTCTGCCTTCTTGTGTTCTCTCTTTCAAATAAATAAATAAAATCTTAAAAAACAAACAAACAACAACAACAAAAGAACCTGCTCCTCTTCCCACATGATCCATTCTCACCATTTAAGGGATTCTTGCCCTTCGCCCCACTCAAGCACCACAGGGATAAGAGCCCCTCTCCTATCAGTTGCTCCAGACAACTGTAATTTTTCACTAGGATGGATGGAGGGGGGCAAATGAGAATCTCAGAAGTGGGGGAAATGTCTTTTTAAAAAGTGCCTCCAGGTCACCTGGGTGGCTCGGTTGGTTAAGTAAGTGTCTGCCTTTGGCTCAGGTCATGATCCCAGGGTCCTGGGATCGAGCCCCGCATTGAGCTCTTTGCTCAGCAGGGAGCCTGCTTCCCTTCTTCTCTCTCTGCCAGCCTCTCTGCCTACTTGTGATCTCTGTCTGTCAAATAAATAAAATCTTAAAAATAAATAAATAAATAAATAAATAAATAAAATATATCTTTTTAAAGTGCCTCCATTTAGAAAAGATTTCTTAGGGGATGCCTGGGTGGCTCAGTCAGTTAGGCATCCAACTTTGATCTCAGCGCAGGTCTTGATCTCAGGGTCATGAGTTCAAGCCCCATGCTGGGCTCCATGCCAGGCACAGAGCCTGCTTAAAATAAAATTAAAAAAAAGAAACTATTTCTTAGATATGACACTAAAAGTATAATTCATAAGGGAAGAACACTGATAAACTTGCCCTTCATCAAAATGACAAAATTTTGCCCTGTGAAAGATATCACTGAGAAAATGAGTGAAAATGAATGAGGGGCACCTGGGTGGCTCCGTTGGTTGAGCAACTGCCTTCGGCTCAGGTCATGATCCTGGAGTCCTGGGATCGAGTCCCACATCGGGCTCCCTGCTTCTCCCTCTGACCCTCCCCCTTCTCATGCTCTCTCTCTCCCTCTCTCATTCTCTGTCTCTCTCACAAAAAAATAAATAAAATCTTAAAAAAAAAAAGAAAGAAAATGAATGAATGAATGAATGAATGAATGAAAGATGTGCCACAGACTGGGAGAAAATGTTTGCGAATCATATATCTGATAAAGGACTTGTAGCCAGAATATATAAAGAATTCTTAAAAGTCAATAATAAGAAGACAACTCAATTAGAAAATGGGCAAAAGCTTCGAAAAGACACTTTACCAAAGATATGAATACACAATGAGCCCATGAAAAAGTGTCTAACGTCATTACTTATTAGGGAGATAGAAACTGAAACCAAAATAAGATACCAGTATATACTTAAAATGGCTAAAATTAAAGACTGGCTACATCAAGTGTAGATGAGAACGCAGTGCAACTGGAACTCCTGTACATTTGCTGGTAGAAGTCCAAATAGTACAGTCACTCTGGAAAACAGCGTGGCAGTTTCTTAAAAAGCTAAACCTAATCTACCATAGGACCCAGTCAGTCCACTCCTACGTATTTACCCAAGAGAATAAAAAAATGCATATCTGGATGTTCACAGGGACTTTATTTGTAATTGTCAAAATGGAAACCCAAATGTCCACTAACCAGTAAATGAATGAGCAAACTGTCCACCCGTACAATGGAATACTCTGCAGCAATGAAAAAGAACACACTTCTGATACTTGTGACAACATAGATGCACTTCCAAAACCATTCAGTTAAGGGAAAGAAGCCAGACATAAGAACCCACATATTGTAGGGTTGCCGGCATATAAAATTTCTAAAAAGGCAAAACTAGGGAGCAAAAGCAGATCAGGGTGTGTCTGAGGCTGGAGGTTGACTGCAAGGGGCTTGAGGGAACTCTTTGGGGTGATGGAAACCTTCTCAAAAAACTGGATTGTTTTTAAAGGGTACATAATGCCATAAATTAATTAAAACTCTATCAACTGCTCAGCTAAAATGAGTGAATCATATGGTATGTAATAAGTTATACCCTGCTGTTGCCCCCAGACTATCCCATCCCAGGGCCCAAGGTAGGGACCTGGGGTTAGCTGTCCCCTTCTATCTGTTCATTACATGTCACCTCAGGCCTGGTCAGCAAGCCCTGCCAACTCTACCCCCTGAATGTCTTAAAATCTTCTGATCTCTCCTTACTCCCCACTGTAGGCCTCTAAAGCCCAACTCATGCCTCAAGCCATCAGGTCTCTCAGGTCTGCACCAGCCCAAGTCTCCACAATGAGAACTGCCTCCACAGCACAAAAGTAGTAAACTTCATCGCTTTTCACACTGGAATTATTTGTTCCCATAAGCTCACCTTCAAGGAAGAGCCCAGATTTCCTCCTTGGCCGATCGAGGGTGGCAGGCTTTCCTGGGAGGCCAGGATGGGAGGATTTGGGCCATGCTGGCCCTGTGAGAAGAAGGAGATTGTGCTACCTAAGGGAGATGTTCCTCCCCTCTGAAAAGCCATAACAATGCATATCAACACCTTCAATTTTTACACCAATTCTGGGGTTCAAGCAACCCGTCTCCGGACTTGGGCAAAGGATAAGGGAGCTTCCCTTTGACCAAAGGGAGTTGAATTCTGCCCCCTTGGTCTGTGGGCAAGACCTTGCTTCAAGTCCTTTAGCTTGAACCCCATGGGGATGGGAGACAGGAGCACCAAGGATAGACTCTCCTTAGATTTTCAGGGTTTTCTCATCAACCACATGCTCTCCAAGACCCACCCTAGGCACTTAGGACCCCTGGGAAGTCCAGACCCTTCCCTGACCAAAAGGACTCATTGGGACCCCTGGGCGGCGACCTCAGCCTCCCCTTTCAGGTTTTCCTAGGCCCTTTAGGCCTCTTTCAGGCCCTCAGATTCACTTGAGGCCCTACCTCCAGCCTTCCACAGAACCCCTCTGCATGCCCACAGGACCACCTTTAGACACTTCAGGGCAGGGTCCTACAGCACCCTCCAGGAAGCCTTAGGCCTCAGCCCCTCAAGTTTCCATCAATCCCCTCCTTTAGAGTCCCCAAGACAGCCTCAACAAGCTCAAGACAGCCCATGGCCCCCTCCTCAGGGCCTCTCTGCCTCCCAGGTCCCTTGGCATCCCCAGTTCCCCTATGGTCCCATCAGTCAGGAGTCCATGGCTTTCCCTTCAGACTTCCATGCTCCTCAATGCCTCCTCGGACCCCTAGGGCCGCATGCAGATACCTCGAGGTCCTGGGGTCCCCAGCCCGCCTTCAGCTGCCCCTCAGCAGCCCTCGGTCCCCCCAGTACTCCATGACCCCCTAAAGCCCGCAATCCCCCGTAAAGACCCTCGAGCCGGCCCAGATGGCTCCTCAGTACTCACGACCCCCAGGACTCCCCACACGTCACCCTGGCCCCGGGGCAGGTGCCGGCCCACCCTGCGGACGGGTCTCACCTGCTCGGGCGCTCGGGGCCTGGGCCCGTGCCGAAGCCGCCGCCACCAGCGCCACCGCCGCCACCGGACTCCGCCATCTTCCCGCCGCCACCGCTGCCGCCGCCGCCGCCGCCACCGCCGCCACCGCCGCGCGTTCAAGTGACGGGAGCCGCGCGCGCCGGCCCGGGAGACAGAGACGCGGCGGGGGGGGGGGGGGGGGGGCGCCGGGGGGGCTCTGCAGGGGGCGGGGCCCTGGGCGCGGGATGGGGCTTGGCCTAACGAGAGGTGGAGCTGGGCGGAGAAGAGTGGAGTCTGCGGATGGGCGGGAGCTGTGAAGGCAGGGGCCCGCTCAATTGAGGGAGGGGGCGGGGCCTGGATGGAGGGCGGAGTCTGTGATGAGGGGCGGGGCGTTATCTAGGTGGCGGGGCCTACTCCGGGCAGGGGCGGGGCAAAGGCGAGTTGTGAGGGGTTGATGGGACCTGGGAGGGGGCTCAGAAAGTAAGGGCGGGCTCGAAGGTGAAGTGCCGCAGGTCTGGGGAGGAGTCTGTTCTACGAAGGGGGAGGGGCAAGGCCGAGATGGGAGGAACAAGAAGAAACTGATCCAAGAGCTCTGATAACTTTCCCTTCCCCTCCACGACCATTCACTCCCCAAGACCTCCCTCAGATGTGGGAATTCATCCCTTGCTCAGGCCTCAGACTTCCAACCGGGCTTTGGGTCCCAACCCTCCCCTGACCTACCCTCCCAGAACCTCCACCCTCAAACCCAAAAACCTCCACCTTCAGACCCTAGTCATCTGCCCTCAGATCCCCAAGCCTCCTGCTTCACCCACAATTCTGGTTTTCACACCCCCAAACCCCTCCCCTCAGATTATCTCCCCCATCCTCTACTCCAATCATAACTCCCACTCCCCCAAATTCTTGCCCACAGGCCCTTCATACCCATATTTACAACCCCAAAGCCCACTCCACCAGACCCAATGGCCTTGAACCCCCCAAATTCCAGTTCCCCAATTACCCAATCTTCAGCCAATGCTTAAATTTGTGCATCTATATCCTTCCTTTTCCTCTTTGTTCTCCCTCCTTCTTTTTTCCTCCACTCCCTTCTTTCATTGCTCCCCACTCTGGACCCCATGGAGCCCAGGGCCAGCAAGTGCTTTGTAAAGCTTCCAGAGCCTTTCAAGGACATTTCCCAACCCCCACTCCAGGATCCTCTCTCCGGCCTTGTGCCCATTTATACTTACACCTTCTGAGTTGGAAAACCCTCGCTTCATGCAGCCTCGAGCAGGGTCCAGGTGTCCAAATGAAGCTCAGAGTTTTCCCTGCAATCAGTGCTAGGAGAGAGGGGTAGACATGCATGCGGCAAGGAGGAAGCAAGGAGGCTGCCTGGGTGGGCTCCTGCAGCTAGAACTAGACTCAACTGATCCATCTGCCGCCAAGGATCAGGTGGGTACACAGTAGATACTCAGTTGCTTGCGTTAAATGCTCAGGAGTTGACATCGAGCAAGTTGACAGATATCAGGTGCTGAGGGGTCCCGCTGACTTCTCCAGCACACAATAAGCACTCTATAAATGCTGAATTGTGCATGCATGAGTAGCTCAAGTTCTGGCAAGCTCTGCACACACACCCTTGCCCACCCGAGGTTGGCACTTGAGCCTTTGTTCCAAATGAACCCCATGCAGGCATCAAACTCCGCTCAGCAGAGACCTACAGCTCACACGCCTGCCGCACATACAGCTGCAGTCAATGGCATCCATATGCACTCACACTTCATAAACACCAAGATTCGCCCCACATGTCAGACACACAGACATACGGCTGAAGATAAGCAAGGAGAGGTTCTCTGGGCCCCTGGCTGTGTGCTTACATGTAGCATGCTGCAGACGCATGGTGCAGGGGACCTACTAGGTATTCCAAGATCATGTGGCACGGGACAGCCTGTGCGAAGGCCCTGAGGCAGGAGCATGCCTGGAGTGTTGCCTAGCAGGGGAAAATTGAGGGAGAGGGAAAGGGGAGAAGATGGGGTGGGTAGGGATGAGTGGTGTGCTCCAGGTCACAGAGGACCTTGTGGGCCACCATGGAAGCATTTCCCCTGCATGAAATGAGGAGTGTGGGGGAGCTTGTGAGCAGAGGGGTGTAACCAACACCAACAGTCAGGGGTAATATCTTGAATTAGGGATGTTACTTAGGAGGCAAATATTCAGGCCAAGTGATGGGGCTCATCCCAAGGTAGTGGCCAGGGAGAGGTGGGGGGGTGGTCTTAGCTGGGATGTAGTTTGCAGGTGAAGCCAACAGGAGATGCAGCAGATGGGATGTGAGGGTGAGGCAGAGCGAGGCAGGGGACCTCCCCCAGGGTTCTAGACTGAAGCCTGATTGGCGGCTGTCATATCTGGGATGGGACACAGGCAGGTTAGGGGACCAGGATGGCCCACGGAGGTTACTGCATACCCTCCTCCAATAATGCTGACCCGTGGTCTGGCAGAGCTTGGAAGCGGGACACAGCAGACAGCGTTCACAGGTCTGGCCGCCATCTGGCCCACAGCTGGCATTGTTCTCCCAGAGGCGGGGGCCTCGCCACCTGCTTCCCCGCTCCACACCAGCTGTGGGCCTTGCAGCCCCAGGTCAGAGCTCAGAGGCCTCCTTGTAACCCCCAGGTGTTACAGAGGAGGAAATGGAGGCTTGGAAGTTGGGGGATGCCTTGTTTTCCTTTAGCCCTGCGCTGGGGCCAGCATGTGCCCCGTCTGCCCTTCCCCACTGAGAGGCCTCACAAAAAGCTGCTGATGCTTCCAGCACCTCCTTTTGCTTCTCCCTCAACGAGACAGTCAACAAGACAAACGCCCGCTATCTTTTTTTTTTTTTTTTAGATTTTATTTATTTATTTGACAGACAGAGATCACAAGTAGGCAGAGAGGCAGGCAGAGAGAGAACGAGGGGGAAGCAGGCTCCTACCTGAGCAGAGAGCCCAATGTGGGACTCGATCCTAGGACCCTGAGATCATGACCTGAGCCGAAGGCAGAGGCTTAACCCACTGAGCCACCCAGGCGCCCCAAATGCCCACTATCTTTGCTATTACCCTTTGTTCTGCACGCGCTTCGTGCAAGCCTCAAGTCCTTGGGCAGGATGCTTTTTATACCTTATAAAATATACCTTATACCTTTTTATACCTCAGTTTCCACATGTTGAAAGTATCCCTGCAGGACAGAGCAAGGCCAGGATGAAGTAAACATACGGCAGTCAGGGCAGCTCAGGTGGTAAGCCCCAGGTCCATGGCGGCTCTCGGCACTTTTCCTCTCCCACGCCCACTCTCTGTCTCCAACCACTGCTTGATTTTTTTTCCACATAACTGCACGGTATTTCAGTTTTCCTTTGTTTAAAATTGAAAAATATGGGGCTCCTGGGTGGCTCAGTGGGTTAAAGCCTCTGTCTTCAGCTCAGGTCATGATCTCGGGGTCCTGGGATTGAGCCCCACTCTGCGGAGCAGAGAACCTGCTTCCTCCTCTCTCTCTGCTGCCTCTCCGCCTACTTGTGATCTCTGTCTGTCAAATAAATAAATAAATAAATAAATATAAAATTGAAAAATAAGAGGAACTCAGTCAGTTAAGACTCTTGATTGCAACTCAAGTCAAGATCTCAGGGTGTGAGATCGGGCCCCACTTTGGGCTCTGCACTCGGTACAGAGTCTGCTTGAGATTCTTTCCCTCTGCCCCCCACCGTTCTCTCTCTCTCAAATAAATAAGTAAATCTTTTAAAAAATTAAATTAAATTAAAATGAAATAAAATTGAGGGGTGCCTGGTGGCTCAGTCGGCTAAGCGTCTGCCTTCAGCTCAGGTCATGATCCTGGGGTCCTGGGATCGACCTCAGTGGGCTCCCTCCTCAGTGGGAAACCTGCTTCTCCCTCTCCTATTACCTGCCACTCCCCCTGCTTGTAGTCTCTCTCTCTGTCAAATAAATAAATCCAATCTTTTTTTTTTAAAGATTGGATTTGTTTATTTGACAGACAGAAATCACAAGTAAGCAGAGAGGCAGGCAGAGAGGGGGTGGGGAAGCAGGCTTCCTGCTGAGCAGGGAGCCCTATGTGATGAGGGACTAGATCCTAGGACCCTGTGATCATGACCTGAACCAAAGGCAGAGGCTTAATGCACTGAGCCACCCAGGTGCCCCAACAAATAAAATCTTAAAAAAAATTTTTTATTGTCCCGTTGTCCCCAGGGGCAGTCAATCCCCACCCACCACCCCCAGCCCCTGACAACCATCAGTTTGGTTTCTGTCTCTATGCATTTTTTAAAATCTATTTTTTTAATATTTTATTTATTTATTTAACAGAGAGATTGAGATCACAAGTAGACAAAGAGGCAGGCAGAAAGACGGGGAAGCAGGCTCCCTACTGAGCAGAGAGCTGGATATGGGGCTCTAGCCTAGGACCGTGAGATCATGACCTGAGCTGAAGGCAGAGACTTAACCCACTGAGACACCCAGGTGCCCCATGTCTCTATGGATTTGCCTATTCTGGACATTTCATACATGCGGGATTCTACCGCACATGACCTTCTCAACGTAGTGTTTTCAAAGTTCCTCCCGTCGTAGCATGTTATCAGGGCTTCCTTCCATTTTATGACTGAGTAATATCCTGTAGTGCGGATGGACCACATGTCATTTCTTCATTTGTCCATTGATGAACATTTGGGGTGTTCGCTTTTTGGTGACTGTGACTAGTGCTGCTGTGAATGTGTGGGTACAGATAGCCCAGTCCTGCTTTCACTTCTCCTGGGTGCCTCTGTAGGAATGGAATTGCTAGATCACAGGGTAGCTCTTGGAGGAACTTTCTGAGGAATTGTCGTGTATTTCCTTTCCTTTTTTTTTTTTTTAAGATTTTATTTATTTATTTGACAGAGAGACACAGCAAGAGAGGGAACACAAGCAGGGGGAGTGGGAGAGGGAGAAGCAGGTTTCCTTCCCACCAAGCAGGGAGCCCGATGCGGGGCTAGATCCCAGGACCCTGGGATCATGACCTAATCCGAAAGCAGAGGCTTAATGACTGAGCCACCCAGGCGCCCCTGTATTTCCTTTTCTTGTTT